AAATCCGACTAATTCGGACGATCTGGCAACCCTGCCTGTAGGTGAGCAAGATACTTGAAAAGATCTTTTTAGGATTTTTCTCAGTTTCATAGGCTATCTAATGAAGATTGCGGTCAGTAACATCATCGAGCAATCGGACAATAATGAGCAAATAGAACTGGTATACTTTTACATAGTAACAAAGCATAACTAAGATTTTTCGGAAAAAAAAGTTATTTGTTAGTTTTTTGTTATTTGTTATTGATAACAATAACTTCTCACCCCTAATTTAAAGTGCTTATGAACCCAAAATTTAAATTGAGCTTTGCCCCAACCATCTTTCAATATCAATATGATATCATTAGACACAGCTTGTTTGATAACAAATTTTGCACGAAATTTCTCGCCTAGAGATTCAATATGTTTATCAACTTTCGAATAGAATAGCTCCATGTTATATTATATTAGAATGTTTTCTTTTGAAAATGTAGCGAGAAATTTAGGTTAAACATGCAAGATTTTTTCTCTCGTTCCATTCTACATATTATCATCTGTATAAACGTGGATTCGCATGTTTACTACAGAAAACATTACAATTCTTCTTGAGCACAAATTTCTAGTAGAATTAAAAATTTTCCTATAGTAGAGATTAAAATTTTAACTTTACTAGTCCAAATTAAAAGCACGTGTTATTGGAATTTCTTCTACTACTGAATTTTGATATCTACTGCAACATATACACGATTCTTTTTTTCGTTCTGCAGATATTTTTTTGCTCCGGTTCACCGGAAAAATAACCGGTGAATCGTGGTTTACCGCTGAAATTGCGAATAAACCGCGGTAGGAATTACAACCGGTGATTTGCCGCGGTAAACCGCCGGTTTTGACTACTATCACGGTTTACCGCTAAAAGTGCTCCGGTATTTGCGACATGGGTTATTGGTTGTGACATGTACTATCAAAATTAATCATAAATAGAAGTGAATAATATGGAATATTTTGTAATTCACTTGTTTCGAAAGACATCTTTTATGTAATAAAATTGTTTTCATCATTTCGAAAACACAACTTCAGAGAGGCTTATTGTCTCGATTCTATTAGTAGATTCATAAAATTCATATAATTCGACAATTTTTAGTCTAATTGATCAAATAATTTTAAAAAACAAAAGTTGATTTATTTGAAATGTCCACGGATGATGATGTATTAGTATGGATCGATTTAGAAATGGATGGACTAGATTTAACCAAAAATTTTATCTTAGAAATTGCTTGTATTGTTACCGATTTCGGTTTCAATAACCATTATCAAGGTATTTTCTTATATATATATATATATATATATATATATTATTGATGAAATATTTTCTAGGACCTAATCTTGTTATTCATCATCCAAAATCATTACTTGATGCTATGGGACCATGGTGCATGGAACAGCATACATACTCAGATCTTGTTCAACAAGTTTTACGTAGTAAATTATCAATGTCTGATGCTGAAACAGAAATAATTAATTTTCTTGAAAAAACAACGTCATTATCAAAACATAAAAAACGCCTTATTCTTGCTGGTAATTCTGTTTATGTTGATCGATATTTTCTTGAAAAAGATATGCCACGTTTAAATTCTTTACTTGATCGATCAATTCTTGATTGTAGTACATTAAAAGAATTAATTCGTCGTTTTAATTATAACATTTATTCAAAAGCACCAATTAAATGTGGAACTCTTCATCGTGCATTATATGATATTCATAATAGTATAAGAGAATTAAGATATTATCAAAAAACAGCTTTTGAAGAAAAACAACAAAGAAAACAAGATCAATTACCACTAACAAAGAATATTACACAATATCTTATATGGATTAATATTAATTCAACAACAATAATTCATTGTATTTTAACTGATGGTAATCTTAATATAATTGATGAAATTATTGATGGAAAAACAGATGATGATTTAATGAAGTTTTTTTATCGAAATGAAATTTATCAAGACAAACTTATTGTTGTAGCTGGAAAATTTTTAGGTTCAATTCGAGCTCAATTAAAAAAATTAGCTCCTCAATTTCATAAATTTTGTCATTATCGATCAATTGATATTGATGTTGTGTCAGTTCTATGTGAAAAATGGTTTCCAAATATTTACGAACAACGACCGTTTAAGAATGATGATGACTGTAATATTCTAAAAAATTCTATTGAACTTCTTCGTTTTTATCGTTCGACTATATTTAAATAGAGAAAAAGAAAAGAAAAAAAAAAAAAAGAAGTTTTTATAAAACATTAAAAAAAAGAGGAAAAACACTTTTTGCTGATTGTTTTGGTTTATCATCTGTATTTGGTTTTGTTATAGCTGTTGCTGATGGAATTATATGTTGAACTTTTGATGTTAGAGCAGACGATGGTACAGTTATTGTACGATTTGTTGCAGCTGTTGTTGAACGAAGAGCTATGATGGCCGAACGATTATTCATTGATGATTGATTTGTTGAACTATTTATTCGAGATGCACGATGAAGAAGATATTGATTTGATTGTTGAATTAATGGAGATGATGGAGCTTGTAAACATGTATTTAAATTACGAATACAAATGTTGACTAATTGACTGACACTGTCAAGTAATGAATGAGCACTGGGAAATTTACGTTGTGATAAAAGAAAAAATGCTTCAATGAAAGCCGAAAATGGTAATCCTACAAATAAAATATATACATGTGTAAAGAGAAAAAACAATCTCGAATGTACAGCAATCATGATTAACATATGATTGATACATTCATAAGAATGATAGAACTATTATCCGTTTCAAAATATAATGTGCTCCACTGTTTTTTGAATAACTTTTCATAGGAACATTGCAGAGACCTGCGGTTTTCGCCATTCGAGAGAGGACACCGGGGGACATCGAAACATATTCGAAATTTGATTGGTCAGCTATTAGCCAATCAGGTAAGTTGTAGGTGAAACTTTTGTGAACGATATTCCAAAGTGATTTCTATTTTGATTTTGAC